AAAAAAAAAAAAAAAAAAAAAATAGGGTACCTTACATGGTTTATACCAGGCAGGAACCCACAAATGAAATATTACACCTTACCTGCTAAGATTAAAAACTAGTTGTCGAGGGGCTGGGGATTTAGCTCAGCAGCAAAGCGCTTGCCTGGCAACCACAAGGTCGTGAGTTTGATTCCTGGTACCAGAAGAAAAAAAAAAAAAAAAAACCAAAAAACAAAAATTAGTTGTCAAACTCTTAATATGTTCTTTAAAGTTTTCAAGTCACCCAGGAAAAGACTCAGCTATAGTTGCAACAGGTACTAAAATATAGTGGTTGATAAATTATACATACATTAGTATTACAAATCACTTGATTACCTAGCTGTACTTCTATTTCGATGTCTGTGGGTATTGCAGGGGGGCTGGTTTTGGTTTTTCTTTGGTCCGCGTCTCATTGTTTTGGGACAACAGTCTTACAGCTGTTATATAGGTTAGGCTCTCAGCGCTATGTCATGTATACTCTTTGTTTATTTCTTCTTGGGTTTTTGAGACAGAAGACATCTTTTTGAGACATCTCCCTATGTAGCCCAGGCTGGCCTCAAACTCACAGCGATCCTCCTGCCTCAGCCTCCCAAGTGCCGGGATCACAGGGGGGCATCACCATGCCTGGCCTTATTTCAGATATACCCGAATAATATTTTGAGTTATATTTTAACTTCAGCCATGGTCCCATCAGAATTGCTAGAAGCTATGAAGTGCAACAAAGCAGGACAAAATACAGGATAAGAGGAAGTAGGTGGACGGACTTACTTGGGGGAGAAGCACAGGGAATCGAGATGCCTTGTGTATGGGAGCGCTCCCCGCGAGGAGTGTAGACACTGCTGCGATCATGCACGAATAAAAGGAAGAGCCAGGCTGGTTCCTTGTGACTAAGCACAATCTCCCATGAATCACGCTTAGATTAGGGGTTTGGAAACCCGGCCCTGCGGACGCTCACCAGCAATGCCATTCCCACGAGGCGTTCTGGTAACAGGCACGCTGCGGCTCCGAACAGGACAAACTGCATACTTTTGCCGTGGGTTTTACCTGGTAACAAAGACTTTTTTCTTCTCTGATGGGACTAGGGACTGAACCCAATGCCTTCGCACTGGGCTACCCCTCCCTCCCATTTTTTATTTTGAGACAGGGTCTCCCTAAGTTAACCCAGGCTGAGCTCAAACCTGTGATCCGCCTGCCTCAGCCTCCCAGAGTGGTGGGACCCCGAGTGTGAGCCACGACCCCTGGACTTCTCAAAACTTTGTTCTGGTTTGATTTTCAGATTCCTCCTGTCCGTTTCGCTTGCTAGTTTCTGCAGATTGGTTTGTGGGGTTGGTTTTGTCTTTTATGCTTTTGTTAACAAGATGCTGACGATGCAGAAGAAAATTATATGGGTTGATTCTACTCCACAACATATTGGC